AAAAAAAAAAAAAAAAAATACAATACCACCATGACGGGTCGAGGAAGAGCAACTTCAGAAGAAAGGAAAAAGCTTCATATTTTAAGACCTTTCACAGCACTTTTTCCTGCTTTTTGAAAAGGGACTACGCATTTCATTTTGCACTGGGCCCTGCAAATTATGGAACTGATCCTGACTGTAAAACCCCTTGTTGAATATGCAGTTCTTCTATCTCCCTTCCTATCCCTCCCCGCCCCCCCCACGTACCAGGTTTGGGGGTTACTTCTACTGCCGTTAATAATTATACTCCTGTGTGCTGATCACCTACTAAGAACTGGTTACCATACTTTCTATACTTTGTTTCATTTAAACCCCTTTATAACTTTATGAGATAAATATTCTTCTCCTTATTTTAAGATGTGGGAAATGGAGGTCCAGGATCACACAGTAAATGGTAGGAGAGAAAGTCAAAATGCCCGAGTCTCAATCCAAAGCTGGTGCTCTTTTCACAGTGCTACAGATGTGTCCTCAGCCTCTAGATACCCAAGTATGGATATTTTCAGGCTGTTTGGGCTGTGGTTTCCATTCCTCTGAGTATTAACTGAGTATCTACTAGGTACCAAGCACCGGATCTTGTGCTAGAGCTACAAAGTTCTAGTGTGGAGGCCAGTCTGAGCTGCACCGGTCCTTTCCTTTGGCAGTACCAGTAAGTAGCTCGGGTTTGATGCTCCCATCCTTAGCCCACTCTGACATCTGTGCCTCCTGCCTCAGTTACTGTGATAAGAAGGCTCTAAAACGGCACATAAAGAAAGGCTTGACCATGGATTAAGAATCTGGGAAGGGACAAGTTTTCGTTAACTTCAAATTTTAACTTTTTACCTAAAAAAATTATCGTGGCTGACCAGGATCAGAGAGGGCAGTGAAATAAGTTCCTGCCATATCCACTGGCCAGTCACTGGCATCTCACTATTGTCCCAACTCTAGGAGCATGCGTGTGTTCATTCTGCGTAATAGACAAGGAATGAGTTGTGGCGATGGCACTTAACTGGAAGGTCATTGAAGAGTTCTCGTTCTTCAGTGCTTCACTGCTATAATTACCATATTTTCTTTGTGGGTGGAGATCGGATCTCTTTTTTCCTCTTCCGGGAGAAGTGTAATATATCATCCCGCAGTCAGTTCAAAATGCTCCAAGCAAGTTCCTTAACTCCCCACCACCATGGTGAATGTCTGATCTTGAGGACCACAGGTTGTGATATGGAAGACACCAGGGTGGTGAAGCATGAGTAACTGGGACGTGGTTGAACTTTTCTTTTATGAGAGGCCAGGAGGGAGAAGGGGAGGATTCTGTCACTTCAGGAAAAGCTTCCTTGGATGAAGCGCTCTTCTGGAAGGGCATAGAGGCAAGGGGGTGTTTCAGACACACAAAAGAGTCAGTGAGGAGATTCTCCGTATTGAAGCAGCATATGGCAAAACTGAGGAAGAAAGGAGGGAAGGTATGTGCAAGTCTGGCTTGAAATGAGTTTCACTAAAAACACTTCAATTCTTGTCTGCACATTTTTGAGGCGTGTGAAAAGAAAAATGGAGGAAGTCACCTTCAGTGGTTTTGTGGCTTTTTAAGTATGGCATACAGGATGTTGAATTTTAACCCCTGTTTATCCTGAAGGGTAGGCATATGTGGGGGATGAACAAGACACCTATTCTTTGAAATGTGCATCGGTGCCAAGTGGCTCCTTGTCACTTGGAATCTCTCTTCTGTTTATTCCCTTTTCTGCTTCAAGTGTGAGTGCCACACACATAAAAGTATTCAAATAATAATATAAAAGCTACGTGATCTCCCTAGGATTTCTGCATGAGCATATGAAAAATGTATTCTAAATATGACAGGAATGTGTGAGTCTTTTCCTTATAATAGAATTTCATGTGAGATTTTTAATTTTATTAGTGCCTATTGTGTGCTTGCATTCCAGAAAGCTTGGTAGAGTTAATGGATGGTGTTCCCTTCAAAAATCAGTCATGTATGCAGGAAAGTCTGACTGGTTTTTATAACTGTCTGTAGCATCATTGGTTCATCTAGCATTTATAAAATTAATTTCAGAGTTTATTAACATAGGGTTCTTAAGTCAATAGCCTTAAGTATTAGCTTAGACTCACGAACTTTTGGGTATGAAATGACATATTGTGAACACTTAAAAAGAGTTTCATTACCCAGCAAAAATATGATCTTAAAAGCAATAATTTTTGAATGGGCACTGAGACATATTTACAGAAAGTCTGGATTCCTACAGTGACAAATCCGAGGCCTCGGCTTTAATCAGAAAATCTGCAGCGTTCACATCTGGCTCCACCTGAAAGTCTGGTTCAGAATTTCCCTGTGATCCTGGCAGTTGCAGAAGAGAAGTTTTAGCTTTGTTTAGTATAACAAGAACTGCCTGACTCCCCAGCCAATAAATGTGTTCATGTAAAACTCCAGACAGTTTCTCTGAGACTGCACTCTTATCAGGGAGACCTCATTTTGCCTCTACTTAAAAGGGAGACTCGCAAGAGAGGAAGACTTGTGCTGGTCAGTGTTTGCTGAATTGAAAGTTATTCCAACATTTGCACATTCCCCAGAATGAATGACTGCTTAGCCTTCCAACAACGTAACTGTCAGTTTTCCCCCTCCAGTTTTCAATTGTACGTTTCATTTAGAAGAAAAGCCAAATGAGAGGATGCTTTCCTCATTTCTCCTCTAGACTGCAAACACTCAGAAATGACATCACGCACCCTAAAGAGCCCCAAGATGACGAAGGCAGGGAGAGCCTGAGAAAACTGACGGCTTCTGCCTTGAGTTTTAGGACTCATGTATATGCAGATGAGCTTTTAAGAGCCGGTTCCCCGCCTTCTTCCTCAGAGGAAGTTTCTTGGTAGATCGCAGACACCTCATCCAGCCTGGGGGCGGGGGGGTGGGGGTGGGTGTGTGTGTGTGAAAACTTGGCACGAGCCATTCCGGGCAGAGCACCGCGGTGATTTGTTCTCCTGGTGGAGAGAGCTGGAAGGAAGGAGTCGGCGTGCAAATAATGAAGGAGCACGGGGCCACCTTCAGTAGCGCCGGGATCAGCGGCGGCAGCGGTGACTCGGCTATGGACAGCCTGCAGCAGCTCCAGCCTAACTACATGTCTGTGTGTTTGTTTGCAGAAGAATCTTATCAGAAATTAGCAATGGAAACACTGGAGGAACTGGACTGGTGCTTAGACCAGCTAGAGACCATACAGACCTACCGCTCTGTCAGCGAGATGGCGTCTAACAAGGTAAGAGATGACCGTTTTATTCATTGAAGTGTGACCGCGCGGGGAGCTCCGGGCTGCCCTGGCCTCCGCCAGCAGCAGAGGTGCATGGGGACGCCACTGTCAGCTTTGTTGATCTGCCTCCGATGATTCTGTTCCAAAGTGCTCCACTTTGCTTGCGTTGTGATGCTACAGCAAAAGTTTAAAATCCTCAGCAGGCTTTAATTCCCAGAACTTCTTTCTTAGTGATGCCGTGCGGAATGTGTTTAAGGTGAGGGGTGTTTATGAAGTGTACCAATCACCATAAGAGTGAAAATGCTTTTTAATTTTTTTGTAAACAGTTAGCAGGAAGATAAAATCTGAATGAATCCATAGGGTAAAATGTTGCGTTGCGATCAGGTGTTATATATATGTGTGTCTGAACAAGAAAATAATGTGATTTCTGTATATCGATGGTGAGAATGGTTTGCCCTGAAGTTTCATCAGTTCTGAAATTCTCCTCAGAAGGATGTTCTGATATTCTCCAACATTTCTTTTGTGATGCTGGTATGACCTAAGATTAAAAAAAGAAACAATATACTTTGTCTCCAAAGAAGAAAGTTATTTTTTTAAAGTTTGCTGCTTTGCAAAGTGGAATCATATGAAATGAAGTTCCACCCATACTGCCAAGAAATGGTTTTATGTACCATGCCCAGGCAAAACTTAGTGTTGAAGAGCTTTAATTATCTACCATTATATCATTTGTTTAAGTAACACCTGGATTTAGAGTGCTAATTTATGTAGTGAGAGTTGTTGCTTTTTGTTTGTATTTTTCTCTTGGAGACTGTTGATTTTATATCTATCTATCTATATGCACATACATGTGTGTCTGTGTATGTATTATTTTCATTGAAAGCCTTAACACTGCACCCTCATAAATACACATTTCAGAATCCCCAATCATCCTAGCCTGAGGTATTATCTTATTGTCTTAAGGTTCTGGGTCTGGGAAGAGATTTTGCTCCACACCTGCCAACATGCCCTTTCCAGCCCCGCATGTGTGTCCCTCCTCCCTTTTTCCTGGGGTTAAAAGTATCACCTTCCCTTCAAGACTTGCTGGCTCCTGCTCAGAGGATCTGAATAGAGGAAGCATCATGTCCTGAAGGTTGGCGGGGTAAGGGGGGGTGGTATAGAGAGTGGACTTTTCTTACTCTTGCTTATTGGTTAATGAAAGGGCAAAAAAAATAAGCCTCTCTCAAATTTTAGTTCAGATTCAACTTGGAAAGAAAAATGGTTTGAGTTTTAACTATTTACTGACTTTTCTCTGAAGTTCTCAATTGAAGCTAAATTCTGGGTTTTTCCAGGCTGTTGTAAATCTCAACCAGCTGCTTCCCCATGAGGAGGGCGTAACTGCATAACTTCTCCAAACCACACTGGAGTTCATGTAGGAGGATTTTCACACAGGCTTTAGCCTCCTGTGAAACATTCACAGATACTCTGTTCTTTGCATTTTGTGATCATTGATACACATGCAAGATGGAGATCTGGTATTTAGGGGTAGTTTTTTAGCAGGTTTCACCGTAAAGGACACCCTGAACTTTCTTCTGGAGTCACTAAGATAAAGTGGGCAACTTTCTCCCTCTGGAGAAAACGATTACTCATTGAGAAACTGCAAATTGCCATTAGTTTTCGTTTCGACTGTTGATGCCTTATAGATTCTAACCAGGTTTGTGTCTGGAGTGCTGAAATTAGACATTGTCTGTGTTGCAGATTTATTACAAATGATCTCATATTCAATGTATAGTTACTGAGGCTCTGACACCAGGGACTGTGTAGGACCTAGTGAGAATTCCAATCGCTTCAGGCTTCCGCTCCTCCTTTATGGTGTCCTGTGCAGGAAGCAATGAAAGTTGAATAGAGCTAACCCTAAAGAAAGGGCTAAACCTTAATGCTGACACAGTTAGCTTAAGTAGAAGGCATGCAGCTTCACCTATTTCTAGAGCTACAGTGGAGAGGTTGTAGGGCAAAGCAATTACCCAGTGGATGAATAATGCCCAGCTGACAGCTGAAGTCAGTTTCAATTTTTAAAAAGATCTCTGTCTCTTTACTTAGCTCTCTTTTTACCTACCCCCAATCTCAAAGTCTTGATTATACTGATAATCATCTCAGGGTTAATCCGTGGCTCATATAATATAATATAATGTGAATATCACTGTGGCCACCAAAAAGAAATTGATCTATACCAGTTTAGGGGGAACTGAATTATCTGTGGTAAAACTAAAATTCACATTTAATTTTAAATATTCTCAAAGTTATTTGAGTGTTCCATCTGAGCTGCTGTTTAAAAATATCATCATCTTCATCATCATCATTACTGTGTAGTCTTTTTCGATCATCTTCTGCTTACTCTCACTGAACACAGGAGCTGTGGCAAATCTCTGAGTTACGGACTTAGAAGTAAGTGTGAAGATGTTCTATACAGGAAGTTTGTGAAAAGCATGGGCTTTGGAGTCCAAAGATCATGGTTCAGATCCTGTTTCTATCATTTACTAGCTACTTGACCTTGGCCAACTTACTTGACTGCTCTAAGACTCAACTTTCTCATATGTAAAACAGGGATGAACGCGGTCCCTACCTTACTGGGGTTGCTGTGAAGATTGAGATAATGCGTCTAAAGCACTCAGCAAGGCCCCTGATGTGAAGCAAAAGTTCAATAAGTGATAACTTATTAATAGCATCTGCTACATCTTTGCATAAAACTATCTGTCTCTAGCTCTTATCAGCTAAGTGACTGCTGAGTTTTGTTTGCAGCCTCTGAACTTGCATGAGAGTCATGATGGGAGAGCCTGTGTTTTGCTTAGGGGTTTGGAGATTACATGTATGCCAGTCTACATGCAAATGGTAGAACGTCGACTGCGTCTAGTAGAGGAAAACAAGTAGTCTTTATATTCGCTTCATCTGGGTAGGGATGGATTTGTTTGTTGCTTTTTCTTAACCCTTTTGAAGAAAACCGTGACTCAAAGATTGCAACCATCCCAAGTGTGCTTCAGAGCCCAGAGAGTAAGATGAGGAACTGTTTCTGTGACTTACAAAAACATAGTCTTTTCCTTGGCTCAAATTTCCCTCATTCCTTAATGCTGGCCACGGGCCAAATGGAATTCCAGAATTACAGGGAAAGATGCAGCCAGGTGGGTCAGTATTGTAGATTATTTTCCCCCAAGAATTACAACAAGATGGAATAAATTAAGTAGGAGTTTTACAGGGCAATGACATTGTCTTTCAAGATGAAAAGGATATCCAGTGAACATTCTGCCAGCAGCTAGACGCGTGAGAGCTGTTTTCTGTAACCACAGATTGCCTTCTTAGATTTGTTCATTAATTTTTTTGTTTCCACTTTTATCACCTCCTGAATTAGAAGAATTGTCTTACACTTCAGCGAAATGCATCAGAGCATGAGTTCCTCAGTGGCAAAACAGTCAGATATTTTGAAAACAGGATGCTTTGGCTGCGCATTATAAAAAGAGGAACGGAAAGAGAAACAGTATAGAAAGGAAGAAAGCAAATAGCCTCAGCAGGGTCCCCAGCCCAACAGCGGCATAAACACTGACCTATCTTCCTGACCTTCACTGTAGCTCAGTTCCTGACCTCGTGTCCCCAAAGCCAGTCGACGTCATTGGAGGAGAGGAGGAATGGCGCAGCTGCTGTGAGGGTGACTAGAATTTCCTGGCTCCTTCCTGACAGACGCAGGCTGAAAAGTACAGAGTTGCAACAACAGTGGCTGAGGAAGAACCAACGCGGAACAATCCCAGTGGGGTGGCGTTGTGACTGAGGGGAAAGAGGGAGCTTTGACTGAGAAACAGTGTCTCTGGCCTAAAATTTTCAGATGAAAAATGTCAAAGGGGTCATTCGTACCCGGCATGTTGAATGTCTTTCAAAAGATGTAATACCCAGGGGCCTCCCTGGTGGCGCGGTGGTTGAGGGTCCGCCTGCCGATGCGGGGGGCGCGGGTTCGTGCCCCGGTCCGGGAGGATCCCACGTGCCGCGGAGCGGCTGGGCCCGTGAGCCGTGGCCGCTGAGCCTGCGCGTCCGGAGCCTGTGCTCCGCAACGGGAGAGGCCCCAGCAGGGAGAGGCCCGCGTACCCCAAAAAAAAAAAAAAAAAAAAAAAAAAAAGATGTAATACCCAGTAAGGAGCTATCTTCAAGCAGCTGGTCACTGACCTGACTTTCCCCCACAAGTCCCCCACTACACTTTTCTTTCTCAACTAGCTTTGCCCTGGGGCTCTTTTATGTGTAGTACAAAGGTTTGGGCCTCATCAATGAAAATGGATGTTCTATTGTTGCAAAGAGCAGTCCTGAATAATATCAGTACTCTCTTGAGAATGGAGCACAAGGACCCAGCATTTCAGTAAATGTTTGCTAAGGAAGTCTGTAAGATGGGAACGGGAGACAGACGGACCTTTTTCTCTAAAGGGCATCAGAAAGTCCGCTAAGGATACCATGACAGGGGAAATGAGTCCTCTCAGCTCTACAGGTTAATTTTTCCGATTCTTCAGGTGTAGCTGTACTAGAGTACCAAACGTTAAGCCAACTAATTGCCCGTGCTCTTGGGTGGGAGGGAATTAAGTCATCGAATTCTACCAGCCTGGAGCCACCTGGGACCCGAGCTGCATGTCATTGGAATGTGACCATGATAGGTTGATTCCCTTACAGTTGGTGAGTCATTCTCTATCCAGTCGTATAATTTGTAAGGATGGGAAATGTTGGATCCAGCAGAACTGAAAGGAAATAGATCTTATTGATCAATGGATTCATCTTAGAACTCTGTCGGGAAGATGATAGACAGGTAACCAATTATTGAAAGGGATTAATTCCACTTTGGCGCAAAATTGAATGACATGATTAGAGCAGTGCCCCCCATGGGGCAGGAGGACCCCTCTTCCTGGGCACTGTGCTTATAGAGAGCCTAGCCTAGTCTGCATCCAGCTGTACTCTGCTCCAGGACCTGGGGAGGCTGCTGGGTCAAGGGAGCACCTGTGCTTCCCCTT